AAATAAGAACTATTAACGATCATTATGGAGTACCTAGGCGTACAGGCATGTGGTAGGCAGGTACGTTCGGGTAGGTAACGATCAAAGGAGAGAACGCGTTAGGGGTAAATACCAAAGACGGTGCGACTACGAATGGAACATTTTATATCTGGTAATTGATAATTTACCGGGAGTGTTACAGCATACGCACCAGGATGGATTGACGTAATAAACAAGTGTGTGGGCCTGGTATACAGCGCAATTATGTAACATAGAAATAATTGTTATCGTGATGTGAACGCGTCTGATACACGTGCCTACGCGTACTTGCGGATCAAAATAAATACGTATACGATGAGATTTGTATTTTTTAAACGACGACGATGGCCAGACGTAAATGATAATATGCAAGACAAGATAATAATTATTAATGTACGAGTGAAATCATTTGTAACTACTATACACATTATAAATATAATAAATAATAATATATACTTTGATCATAATGTATTATAGCACCAGTTGAATCGAGTAAGTCGAGTAGTATTCGGGTAATCGAGTAGGGCCGATTACGGAAAAATAAGAAATAGGTTAATTAAAAAAAAACAAAAAAAAAAACCAAAAATTATACAAAACGATTATAAAAAGCACCTGGATGGATGAGTATGGATGTGTGGGGTCAGACGAATCGTGCGGGTTTGTTTTTATTTTTTTAATAATTTGTTAATAACGTGTTCGTCAGAGAAACATAATATACAATTATAATATATTATACATAAGTATACTTGTGTTATTTATTTATAATAATATGGTCCTTAAAAATAATTTTAGGTTTAAACGGATTCACGTCACATGACGAGTTGTTGAAAATCTGTCTAAACATATCTGGAAAATTGTTTATTTTTTGTTGTTCAAACGGAATTGTAACAAAGTGACCGCCTGCAACTAGATAAAATTATTGATTTTAGAAAAGACGCTAGACAAAACAGAAACACACAAAAAACAGGGGGGGGAAGGACGTATAAAATACAGGTAAATAATAAACAGGAACATAATAATCATTGGTTTCTAAAACATATATTTTGTTATTCCTTTTATTTTCATTTAGCAGTCGACGATCGAAACGAGCCGCGTGTTTGACCGGGAACCACACGAAAAGCACGCATTAATGTAAAATCAGGATATTACTCGATTCGCTCAGAATTCAAAACGGCGAAGTACGTTAGCTGATTGGATATTATAATATGCGATATATCAGTGGCGTAAATACCGGGTGAACAAGGTGAGCAAACGCCAAGGGCCCTAGTGGTAGCCTAGATCAAGCCCAAGGCATTATTGAACAGGTATTTCTTTCTTTGAGTGTCCCTTTGAGTGACTTTTCTTTATTTGCTTGTCGGTTCAGCCTTTAAGATCTTAATACAATATTTCGTCACTGGCGTCAGGAGTTCTAGTTACGCCACTGCAGTATATTATATGAACAGTGACGAGCTTTACGTTTGCCGGGACGGCGGTCTCCACGGGCACACTGCACGAAAAAAGAAGAAAACGAGACGGTCAAATAACACTGTACAATATAATATTGTAATATCTGCGTTATTTATGAGCGGCAAAAACAATATCCGCCGGTGAACGGGAATAAAAAATATATATATATTTTACTGTTAGACGAAGTATTATTATTTCGGCGTATAATATTTTAAGTAGGTGTAATCGAACCGTACAATCGTGTAAACACGTCGTGGAATCGAAGCTTCAAAGTAAACCGCACCACGGTGTACATCACGAGAGGAGCCGTTAGTTTCTGTTTGATTATCGGTAGTTATTGTGTTTTTCGAGTAACCGCTCACTTTGTGTTCAGCATCATATTATTGTAATATTATTATAATACCGACGACGGCGTGACGCGATATTATTTTCGAAACGAAACTTTAATTTTGAAATCGGTGTGCACAAAACGAGTGCGCGAGTATACTTATTATTACTTATTATGATACGCCCATAAAATCGTCGAACACGAATTTTCTAGGCGCGCGTCCTTGGTACCCATATGGATTTTCTAGTCGAAAATTATCCGACTGCACGTAAAACAATAATTATTGGAACGGGTATACCTATGCGACGGTCGTGCAATATCTTTTATTGCAGCGTTTTTTGTTAGTTTTTTTCGCACAAACAGCAAACACGTATTGCAAAAGGAAAATTATATACATTACATAAGGAGGAGGGGGGGGGGGGGGGGTGGAGAAAAAAACCGTAATATAGGTAATTACTGTCGATACACACATTTACCTCTGCGTAAGAAATGTATTTAGTTATTACAGTTATATTTTCGAACTCGTCCGTGTCATATTTTACGTAGATTTCGACGGGATAAACCATTTTTTTTTTTTTAAATATTTTATGTGATGTTCGAGCCGAATTGAATCTCGTGCAGGACCGCGGGGTCACGGGTGTTATGTACGGACGCCATAATGTCTGGCGATAGTTGTACGATTTCGAGTGGGTGGTTTAGAGATTGAGGTTTTTTTTTCTCCTTCTCGCTCTCTGTTATCGAACACATCTATTATAATCCAAAACACGTTTGTACGTTATAATAATAATTACCCTCGTTATTATTATTATTATTTTTTTTTTTTATCGACATTTTAACGCGACACGATCGAAACGGCGGCGGCGGTGGCGGCACCGACAAAAAGAAAATACATCACGCACGTGTTGAACTCTTTATACCTATCTACTCACGAATAACTCGTAAAATAGCTGATAATATTATAATATTCGTTTTTTTTTTTTATAATTTGTTATGCGGGTACGCTGTCTTGTAAACACACTATTTTGTGCACCTATATTATAATTGTCTTGTGTATAAGTTATGTACACTATTTTATAAAGTAGTGCATAAAAATTAACACGATCGCCAGAAAATTACAAACCGTATTATTGAGTCTCGGATCAAAAGTTGGAAACAATATTCCATCGACATAAACTAAATATTTTTTAGATTATCTGATACTGAATTTCTGAATTTATTTACCACGGTTTTTGCGTAAATATAAATGATATTTTTCTAATCAGTCGATAAAATTAAAAAACTAGAAAAAAAAATGATCCTAACAATGCTGCAGCATTTGCTAAACAAAATTTACTACCAGAGATTAATAGATCATTGAAAATGAATAAAAACAATTATAAGTGGAGTAGTATCAGTTGTGTTTTATCCTTGTTCCCTAGGTAACTCGTGAAATCAACAAGACATTTCCCGTTTTACCCAATTATTAAGAAGACTACAAGGATAACAAACAGAAATTCTCTTCAATGCACCAACAGGATCATAAATGCTACAAGAAAGTTCGTGTACATTTTTTGTTCAGAGCAATAATTCTGGTAGAAAAGTTGTTAACAGACATAAAAAAAAAAATAGTACAGAATTCTCTGAGAATCTAAAACGATTAAACTAAAATATTTCAAAAATTTGGGATAGCCAATTTATATAGTCGTGATTTACGCAGGTGTGTAATCACCTGTAGCGCATTTACTTTTACGGCCAACTTTACATTTACGGAGACCTAAACGAAATGTTTCGGTATTGTTTTTAAACATCTCACGACTCGGCGACTGACAAGTCCGACGCTCGTGGATCGCTTAAAAGTACTTAGACACTGCACTCGATGTATTATACACTCATTATTATTTTTCGACGGTCACGACAAACAACATCCATATATTATAATGTACCCATATTACGAGCATCGCACTATTTATGTTGTCCGATTCACTAAATCATTTTGCGTTCCAAACACGGGTAACATTGAACCGTATTTTCAGACCCTGTCCGCGAGTTCGGTATGTAATTACGCGAACCGCCGTGGTTTGTAACCGACTATATGTAGTTGGCTTTATAGGTTTATGTTCGGGACACTAAATTTCTCGGAGCAGTATTAACAGTCTGGACCATAGTTTTGTAAAACCTACTTTAAAAGATGTTTGTTTTTTGCTCGATAGAAGACGATTTACAAAAAAAAAAAAAAAAATGTCAATAGGCACACGACCATAGTAATATAAATGTATACCTTTAGCTCAGCGAACTTTGCTCAGAATCCGGAATCGTTATTCGTTTTCATCGATTTATCGTTGCAAACAAAATATTACCATTGTGGGGCGATCGGGTAATAACACAGTAATATAATAATGTAATATTATTCTCTATACTCCCCTCAATTTCCCGCTTATTGCATGTAGCGCACTCACGACGCGAATTGATGTCCGGTGTTTTCCGGCGTTCCGTCGATCGAGAATCATTCGGCCGATTCGCGACATAAAATTAACAAACCCTACAGCTATCCGACTCCAGCCACAAACGATTGTCGTGTGAAAACCAAACACGTCGTAGGTGCGCACACCTGCCTAATGTTCGTATACTATTTTTACTTTACCGACGCGGCATCACGTATTATACGGGTGTATTGACGTACATACAAAATTACGTTATTATCGAAACGATTGCGCAGACCGAAATTGGATACAGTCGATCCCGATTTCGTTTAGGGGATGGGAAAAAAAAAAAAGAAAAGAAGGTTAATAGGTATATAAAACCTAACTCACCGTGGAATTTCGACTGGAAAAAAATACCTACGATAATGCATGTAATCGTAATAATAGTGTAAAATAACGTGAGCTCACGCGTTTTCTGTACGAAGTGTATGTTTTTAAAAATACAGTTTATTTGATCGTAATCCAAAAACGTATTGTAATATTATTATTTTATGGCGCACGATTGTGCACGATCCGATATTCGTTGACCCGTATTTTTTTGTAAATTTAAAATGTGTACAGACAGAATTCGTTACCTATTAAAATAATAAAACAGTGTCGTTCATAATCCGACGTATCAAATTCAACGTGATTTTGACGGTACATAATCGATCTTACGGGTTTGTGCAACTAACAAAATAAAAACAAATTTACTATTGGAAACCAAAGTATACGTTTTCGTAAAAGTGTATACGCCATAACTAAGGTGATCACACGTCCGGTTTTGAACGGGACAGTACCATTTTTTGTGCCCCTGTCCCGTTGTCCTCTGGGGGATTTTCGGGACGCAAAAATGCCCCGTTTTCAGAAGGTAAACAAATAAATAACGAGACTAAATTGTGTACACGGCGGAAGGTCGGGTTTGTAGTTAAACTTATGGAACGTAGTCGCCGGTTATTGGACTTATTGCGGAAAATATGTTCCAACGAAAAATTGGTCACTGGCGGTACATGAGCATTATTGGCATTATTTGCTCCTGCACGACTGGTGTATATTTCCAAATATATCGCCATTGTCCAGCCTTTGTCACGGCAATTGTAAATTCTCTCACACTGCCGGTCGACTAGTACCCAGATAAGTTCAGCGTATTATCAGCTCCAGTCACCAGTCGAACAGCCGGTCACCAGCCGTGCAGTGTGGGAGCAAACGTCAAGTTAATTGTGAACATCGGCGACGGTCCTTTGATTTGTGTCCTGCAGTATTCCCGACGGTCCAACGGTACGAGCCGGTGACCGAATTATACAATTACCGTACACGCGAAGACCGGTGACCAATGTGTCGGCCGAGTACATCAGACGTGTCGGCCCGGATCTATTATGTAATAGAAACGTGAAAAGTTAACAGATTTTTTTTTTTTTTTTTTTTTTAATATTACACACACGCACACGCGTGTATATCTATAACAACGCGGTTTGGCACCTACACACATAATTTTATTTTTTTATTTTTTTTTTTTTTTAATAGTACCTAACCGCTTTTTTCTTTTTTTTTTTATGGCGGCACATCTCTGTGATCGTAAACGAATGTGTGAGCGCGCGTGTGTGTATCCCCCCCGGACTGGTATTTTTTCCCGGCCGGTCTCGGGCGAACGGGCGGAATATAAAAAAAAAAAAAAAA